AATCACTAAAGTTGAGGGACCAAATTTAGCATTTAACCTTCTTAAATTTCTTCCTATTAAACTCAAAATTAGAATTTAAAATTTCTAATTTAAAATTTTAAAATCTTAACCATTAAATCATTTCTTTATGGTTTTCTCTTTTGTAATTACCAATTATTGTAATTGCTAGTTGTTTTTGACTTAAGACTTTTAATTATTGATTATTTGACTTTTAATATTCTTAATGATAATTGCTAATATTTGATTATATTTTTTGATTTCTAATTTATCTGGGGAACATGCCATGAGTGGTGCGGCTGCTGGGTGGAAAAGGGAGGGTGTAGGGGGCAAGTGAAAAGGCTAAAGGCTGCTTCTTGACGGGTTGAGCCAGGTAAGGGAGGTTGCAAGGGAGCGGCTATGTGGGGGAGGAAGCTTGGTCTCATACGGGAATACCACCAGTTCAGGCCGCGGTAGCATGCTGAGGAAAGAGGGTTTGGTAGAGGCGCAAGGAGTGCAAGACGCGGCCATTTACGACATGGGATAAGGAGGTTGGCAAAGGAAGAGTCACCGACACGGGGATAAGTCACCCTCTAAGAGGCAGAGAGCAATGGTATAGGCTGTTTTTGTTGTATGTGAGCAAAGCCAAAGATCTAGAAATTAGAAGAAATTGAAATTATGGGCAAGGCCAAGGAATTTAGAGGAAGCTATTTAAAGGATAATCGATTTTCAATATATAATGTAGGTGGCTTCATAGAACTGGTACAACGCTCAACACAAGAATTTTAAGGTTGCAATCATCAAAATTCTTAAACAAAAACCCAAAAATTGAGAAGAAGAGGATTGTAACTGTTTTTTGTATTGATTAGTGTATACTAAGGTGTCACCCAAAGCTTTGTGAGAAGGCCCTATATATTGGGCCTTCTACCTTCTACAAGAGACGGAAGCATTATAATTTTAGTTTTAAAGGCTATTAAACATCAATCCTTATTGTTAATAGCGCTTCCAATGTAGTCTTAATGGGCTTAGGTGGCCCAAAATGGCAAACACTGAAGACGTTTTGATGCTATATGCTTCCATTGTTTTGCGTTCTTATGCTATAAAAAAATTGCAAGAAACTACCCCACGATGGCTCGATCAATATCTACTTTCGCGAACGATTTCTTGCTTAGGTTTGTGCCCTTGATTTGCTGGGTTTGCTTTCTGAAAATAACATTTAATGAGTTGTTATTTTCGCTCAGAACTCAATTGTTTTCATCTTCTTTTTAGATTTACACAACGCAGTTTTTGCCATGGGCAATGAAGATTTTCCGCTTGGTTCCATGGTCTGTGACTCTAATTTAAGGCTCATACCAAACCAAAAGGATGGAGAAGAGGAAATTTACACAAGGGATGCCTTTACTATTCTTCTGCTATCAAATCCAAGTTGAAGAATCCCACTGGCGTTAGCAATCTCATTCGTTTCGGAAGAGTGGGTTCTGAAGCAAGCATCCATCTCCATTTGGATCATTGATGTCCAAGCAGAGGATATTCTCATTAAGAGGAATGCAGGTGGTCCCTTTCTCATGCACGCCAACTGTTTCGCATGTGGCCCATGTGAGTTGTAGTTGGTTTTATTACTAGGAATACATACTAGGAATTAGTAGTTGGTTTAAGATTATGTTTAATATCAGGATAAGGATTTTTTACATAATTTGTGTTTCTTTGTAAATTTAATTTCCTTCTAAATAAATTCTTCCTGTATGTGCAATGAGATATGAGGAGTTAGGATTCTATGTTACTTCCACTATAAATTTTATTTACCAGTTTTTATATGAAAATTTGTGATCAAATTTACTAAGCAAAAAATCAAGGGAAATCAAAGTCAACATGAATACGATGAAAAAAGCACTCGATGGCAAGTAATTAGATTTGGGATTTAATAGATTTAATAGATTCAATTCCAAATATGATTTCTCTTCATAATCTTATTTGATGATGTTTACATATTTTTTCATAGAAAGAACAATTGAAAGAACAATCAAAACCCAAGGCTCATAAGAAGAACTTTCTCTTTTTTTGAACTATTAAAAGTTTAAGTATCTTGCTTTTGATGTGCAATTTCTTGCAAGAAAATCTGTTTGGCTGCATTGTTGTAATGTATTTGCACTTAATTTGTTAGTTCTTTTTATAAGAAACTAATATTTTTATATTTGAATTTAAAGAGGAAAAAAATTTAAAAATAAATTTTAACAACTGAACCAGAGGGTGTCAGTAAATGTGTTGAATTGAAAAACATACCAATCATTTTCCCTAACTATATAGTTCCATTTTATTGGTCAAATGTTATTATGGATTAAGAAGGATGAGCTTTATAAGAATCTTTGGAGGTTTTGATCCCTGTTACTCTATATACACAAAACAACTTTTCGGCAGAGTAATTGTTCAATCTCCGTGCAAACATCAGATAAGGAAATGGAAGATCTACGAGTCAGAGTAGCAATTTGAATTTTGATATGGTACATTGTTGTTCTTGTTTCTTTGCTCTTCATAATTCGCATGTTTTTCTTTATAGTGATTCCATCTTGATGCCATACAATTACAATGTTTCTTCAATCCTTCATATCTACAATTAGCCCATCAAAGGTGTTTTCAAGATATGAATTTATAGTTACATATTTAAACTTTTATGCTCCCTCGCTTTTTTTTTTTGGATAAAGTGCTCCCTCGCTTTTTGCACTCATCTAATGTTTCCCTGCTTAAATCAGAGAGACCTTGGACATACTAAATTATCACTCAACATCAAGTTTTGTTTTCCTGCTTGTGTCAAAATGGGATGGTTGCTGTGACGAAGTCAACATACAGGTTCAAGTCAGGAGACTTAAGCATCTTTAGGCTTGCATTAGGACTTAATTGGAAGACACATGCTGTCATTTTGGTAAGTTGCCACTACATGATGGATTGAACATTAAAAAATTATTGATAACGTTTTGTACGTGTTGTTGAATTACGAGTTTGAATGCTACTGTTAAAAGTAAAATCGCCATTGTTTTGATGTCATCCGATCCTTTTTTATTGCCTCATCATACTGGTGAGGACTACCTGACATGCACCAATGATACGTTGCCAAATTTTTGAATGAACCAGGCAGGAAAGGATTGGTTGTCCTAATGCTGGGACAAGGGAGATATTGCTTGTGCTATTACTGAATTATTTTATTATTGCTTTCAAGCTTATAATTGTTGAAATTAGTTTTGTTTAAACTGTTGCTTTGATTGCGTGGGCCTTGTGAGTTTTTAAGATTCATGTTTGTGTAGATTAATTAAGGTTTTTTAGCATATGATTTAAAAATTATAAGTTAAGGTGTAATAATTATATTTTTTATTATAAATTTATATTAAAAATAAAATA